TCCGAAAATGAACCGCCAAAAAAACACAAATGAACAACCTATTTATAGGTGCTCCTACTTTTATTGTGGATGGCGTGTGCTTCCATTGACCACGTATGAAATGGCCTCGATGGAAGGAGTAAGAGTAGTTGATGGGATTGGTTGTTGGAGTTACCACCTCATGTGTTTATGTGTACTTATTTTTGCATTCATGGGATGACGGGTATATACTTGATGGAGATTGGGTTAGTGAAATGGTTAATGGGTATAGAGTACATAATAACATCTTTATTTGCGTGTAATTTGTATGTACAATTGGTGTGTTTGATTGGTGGGGAAAGATTGTCCCAAATCCATACACACTTTGACCTTCTCTCTCACGTGAGCAAAATGGGCCAAGTGGAGGGATTTTTTTTCCTGTCCGTGTACAACATCATCATATGAGAATTTTGATATCAAGGGTTTGAGCCAAGTGAATAACTTGTTGCGAGCGGCCAATTTCTCCGGGCCATCAGAGTCACTGGGCTCCACACACGTCTCAGCCCTACGCCGACAGGCCCAAAGGGTGGGGAAAGATTGTCCCAAATCCATACACACTTTGACCTTCTCTCTCACGTGAGCAAAATGGGCCAAGTGGAGGGATTTTTTTTCCTGTCCGTGTACAGCATCATCATATGAAAATTTTGATATCAAGGGTTTGAGCCAAGTGAATAACTTGTTGCGAGCGGCCAATTTCTCCGGGCCATCAGAGTCACTGGGCTCCACACACGTCTCAGCCCTACGCCGACAGGCCCAAAGGGTGGGGAAAGATTGTCCCAAATCCATACACACTTTGACCTTCTCTCTCACGTGAGCAAAATGGGCCAAGTGGAGGGATTTTTTTTCCTGTCCGTGTACAGCATCATCATATGAGAATTTTGATATCAAGGGTTTGAGCCAAGTGAATAACTTGTTGCGAGCGGCCAATTTCTCCGGGCCATCAGAGTCACTGGGCTCCACACACGTCTCAGCCCTACGCCGACAGGCCCAAAGGGTGGGGAAAGATTGTCCCAAATCCATACACACTTTGACCTTCTCTCTCACGTGAGCAAAATGGGCCAAGTGGAGGGATTTTTTTTCCTGTCCGTGTACAGCATCATCATATGAAAATTTTGATATCAAGGGTTTGAGCCAAGTGAATAACTTGTTGCGAGCGGCCAATTTCTCCGGGCCATCAGAGTCACTGGGCTCCACACACGTCTCAGCCCTACGCCGACAGGCCCAAAGGGTGGGGAAAGATTGTCCCAAATCCATACACACTTTGACCTTCTCTCTCACGTGAGCAAAATGGGCCAAGTGGAGGGATTTTTTTTCCTGTCCGTGTACAGCATCATCATATGAGAATTTTGATATCAAGGGTTTGAGCCAAGTGAATAACTTGTTGCGAGCGACCAATTTCTTCGGGCCATCAGAGTCACTGGGCTCCACACACGTCTCAGCCCTACGCCGACAGGCCCAAAGGGCTCCTGGTTTTGAGGGCTGCATCTGCAGACAACGACCCGGGTACTTTCCTGGACCCATAATTGGCCCAATGACTTCGTCTAGAGGGTTGTTGTCGTAACGGTGCGACACTTGTAAATTTATTTCACCAAGTTTTCTTCTTTCTAAACGACGTGGTACAGCTGCATATAGAGTTGGATAGGATGGAGGGTTATATTTCTATTTAACTCAACACAATTATCCGTAAATATATTAATTATATATTAATATTTATACACATGAATCCATTCATATATATGTTTATGTTTAATGGGTCGTTAATAAGATAGATGACTTTAGATTTTCGAAGTCGGAAAGAAAGAAATCCAAATTTGATCAGTTTCATATTCATTCGTTACATTATGTTTTTGAGTCATGTAATTAATTAATCCTATTCGTTAGTCGAGAGCTTTAAAGCTCGAGTCCGCAATCGTGTTACTTGTTTCGGTTAAAAATTATTATTGTTGGGAACTAGATCATGGAATCAAGTTAGTGGTGGTTGAGCAGGGATGACAATTTAAATGCTACTTCGGGTATTATTCGATTTTACAAGCATGTATTATTCGATCCGCAATAGTGTAGGACGAGACATGGGTATTTACTTCCGACCCGTCACGCTTTTCGGTCACATTCTGTTCTTGGCTCTTTTTAGAAGCAAATAATTAGAGACAATTGTTGTATTGGTTTCAATAGTTAAGTTTTAGGGGCAAATATATTATTTGTCTCAATAGGTAAAATTATTTGTCTCTATAGACAAATCTAATAGTCTTTAGACACAAATATATTTGTTACTTATAGTTATGTCAAATATAGACAAATTTAATGGTTTTTAGATGCAAATATAAATGCTACTTATACATATATCATATAGATGCAAATTTATTATTATTTAGAGACAAATACAAATGTCTCTTATACATATATCATATAGATGCAAATTTATTATTATTTAGAGACAAATACAAATGTCTCTTATAATTATGTCATATGGAGGCAAATCTAATAGTCTTTAAAGACAAATACAAATTTATAATTATGTCATATGAAGACAATTTAATAGTCTTTAGAGACAAATATAAATGTTACTTACAACCCATAACATATATTTACTATTTAGAGACAAATACATATGCTCCTAAAGCACTAATTTGAATTAGTTGTTGTGTATAGGTTTAAGAATGATAATTTTTATAAAAAAATGAATTATAATTGGTGTCCCTGGCAAATTTCATTATCATTAAAAAAGCTACAATTGTGAAAATTTAATTTTTGTAATGGCTCCCAAATTTCCCTCTCCCCACCCGGCGCCACTCTATCTTCCCTCCCAAAGATTTCTCTGCCCATTCTTTTACTTCAACTTTCCAAAAAAAAAAAAAAACTTTCCATTTACTTTTCAAATCCCCACCTACCCAGGCACACACTTTTTTTCTCTTCTTCTACCTCCAAACCCAACGACCTATTACCAAACAATTAATGGCTTCCTTTCTTCCTCTAAACCCAGCAAGCCAAACCTCCCTTCCATCGCTTGGCTTACTTATGTAGGAGTCCCCTCCGACGAAACATCCTCTTCTACCTTCCGCCGCCGCCGATAGCCCGTTCCCCACGATCCTCTGGCTTCCCTTCGTCAACGTCGCCTCCGACGAATCAACTTCCTTGTTTGCCTTTCGTTGCCGTTGCTAGCCGATTCCAGTTTCACTAATCTAGAACTACCCCTGCCATCAGCAACAAATCGACCTGGGATTACAATTTTCGGTCGGAGAGCAATTTATTTTGTTTGTTGTAAGGAAACTGTCTCTTGGGTTTTGACTTGCGATTATGTCTTTCTCCTCGTCTCCCTCTTTTAATTAAATGGGTTATTTGGATTGTAATGTTTGTAGGGGGAGATTGGGGACAACAATCGGGTTGACAATGGCGCTCGAGGAATTTGCGGCGATGGAGGAGATTCGAGAGATATGGGTCTGGGTGCTCTCTAGCAATTGGAGCTCTCAAACGGAAAATGGAAGACGGGGAAGAGTTGCTGGCGGCGTTGGGTTCCTCCTTCCACTGGGTCTCGATCTGAGATCGATCTGGAGGGAAGAAGGGTCTGGATCTAGGTAGAGATTCGCTTGATCTGGAGAGGCCGGAATGGCGGAGGGGAACAAGTGGCAACGGGTCTGGGCAACGAGCATAATCGGTGGCGGCTTATCAGGATGAAAGGCGAGAGTCGCGTCGACCTAGCTGCTGTAGAGCTGGCACAACGATCACTATCAACGTCACAATGTATTCTTTATGTATTTTTCCTTTTTCTATTTATGTTTTTATGGGCAATGTATTAATGTATTTAAGAATAAATTTATTAAAAAGTAATTAATAAAATTAAAATTTTATTTTATTTGTGCCATTGAAGGTAAAATAATAAATATTAATCAAAATTATGAAAGTTGAAATAGAAGCAAAATTATTTGTTCTTGAAGCAAATATTTGCTTCGGTAAGGTGTTTTAGAAACAATTATAATTGTCTATAAAACTAGAAATAGGAACAAAAACATCTCTCTCTAAAACCAAATAAGAAGAGAAAAATATATGTTCTTTAATGTGGAATTACAATAAAAAGATTTGATTCAGATTTCTTAATTAGAAGCATATATTATTTGCATCTATATTTGCTTCTAAAGAGAATTAGAGACAGAGGCGTCCGATGCAAATAATTTATTTGTTTCGAAAGATATACAGAAACAAATAACTGGCTTTTAGATGAAAATAACCTCTGACTCTATAGCCAGATTTTCTTGTAGTGACTTGATCTTTTCAACTAGTTAGACCCAACTACTCATTCTATTATCACTTTTTTTTTTCATAAAGTGTTTTCCCCTTTGTCGGATTGTAAAAGGTAAAATTTTGCATGTATATTTTTCTATATAACATGTAAAGGTGGATCGACCCGTCCCGTCTCGCCCCGTCCCACCCCGTCAATACGCTTTCGAGCTTCGTGTATTACCCGTCCCGACTCACAACAGAATAAAACTACACATGGTTTTGAGGTACCCGCCCGTCCCCCGCATTGCCATCACTAGGTAAAGATATGTATTGATATTCTTTGTTTATATCAATAAACTTGTGATACTTTATGTATAATTTTTGGATAATAATAATGCCAAACTAATAAGTAATAATAGCATATGTTCGTTTTCTTCAGAAACAAGAAAAGGAATCCTAATCCTACTAAACTTGCTGGTCGATCAAATCTCTCCCTAATTTTTCTTGTAGCGAAACGATTGGAAATCCATCCAGCCAGGCTTAGGGTTTCCCCTTCTTCCCTTACTATTAGCTCTAGCTAGTAGCTAGCTGCTTGTCGTCTCGAGATATCGCTTGCTTTTTTGCTGGAAAAGATGCAGATGAAATTACAAGTCCAGGTCCAAAAGCGAAAACGCTCTTTCTTATCTTGGTACGTAGGTTGTGCTATATATATATTGAACAACTGGTATGTACGCATTGTGTTTGATAGGCTGATTTCGTGCTTCTGCGCTATATTCTGAATATTATTCATATGCGGCAAGACACAAATCAAGGAAGGTCGTCGCAGTGATGATAAGGTAATATATTGTTAACTAGGTTGAAGTCCGTCCGTTGGCCGGGTAATGTTAGTTTGAATTTGTGTGTTCATTGGAATTTTATGTTTTCAATAGCTTCTGGTTTTCTGATAACCTGAGTTGTGGTTGGGCCAGGTAATGTTAGTTTGAATTAGTGTATCAATTGAGATTATATGTTTTCAGAATTTCTGGTTTCCTGACGTTATGAGTTGTGGCTAGTTTTGATGTAGGAGTTCCATTTTCTTCATCATTTACACGATAAATGATAGAGATACAATGGCTAAATTACACGTTTGGTCACTCAAATTACACAAATATTTTATGTTTGCCACCCGAATTACTTTTCTTTCTTATTCGCCACTAACTTTACGAATCGTTTCACTGTTAGTCACCGGTCGTTAGTCTCTGTTGCACTCCGTCAACTCCGTCAGTTTTTTGATGACGTGGCAAACAGAATTGATCACTGGACCGTTAACTTAATCACATGTCAATTTAAAATAATATAAAAAAACAAAATTTACCTCCTAGTCGGCCTTACCCAACACAATTGACCAAAACCTATAATTTAATTTTCTTTTATTTTTTAAAGAGCTAAAACGAAAAACAAAATTAAAACCCTACCCCTTCTCATCCCCTTTTACGTTCGACTTCTCCTGCCGTCGCCGCTCCCTTTCATGGCTCCTTGCCGCCGCTCCCTCCACTTGGCGCTCCCTTAAGAAATCCCAGAAAACCCCAAATCGGTAGAAGACCTCTTCATCGGATTTCAGTGCTGCTCCTCTCCTGCTTAATCTCCTCGTCATGGGTGTCCTCAGTAGAGACGTAAGCCGCACCCACGCGGTAGAACAAGATACCAGAAAATCGAGAAAAGCTTGAACGATGCGGCGGGAGATGGGGGAATATGAGTGCATGTGCAGAGGAGAATGGACTTCTTAACGGCATCTACATAGAGAAAATCAAAGAAGGAGATCTGAAGAATGAAGATTCAGCCAAATCCCTACTTCCTCTTTTGATTGTGGACCCTCAGGCCTCAATCACACCAAGAATATTTGCAAGCTGGATTTCCGATGTTGGGGATTCAGGCATTCCAGGTGGATGAAGGTAAGTTTTCCGGTCACCAAGTCCAATCTCCGGCATTGTTTCGCCACCAACCGCCGCCATCAAACCATCTGCCTTATTAACCCAATAAATCCCGGTCATTTTACAAACCCCATAACCCTCACTCTCACCACCCTAATCTTCGTCCCCGTAACCACATCCGCCCTCTCTGTATGTGCTCTTCTCTTGAAGCAGAGGATCCAGAATGATGATTTGTATGTCTCACATTCTCGTAGCCTACATTTTCTTTGACTTTGTTTTTATCTTCTTTTCATTTCTTGTTTCACTAATTTATTAATTAATACCCACGGAATTGCAATTGAGATGGGTGATAATTATTTTATTATTATTTTAAATTGACATGTCATTAAGTTAACGGTCCAGTCAACAATTTCGTTTGCCACGTCATTAAAAACTGACGGAGTTAACGGAGACTAACGGCCAGTGACTAACGGTGAAACAATTCGTAACGTTAGTGGCGAATAAGAAAGAAAAATAATTCGGGTGGCAAACATGAAATATTTGTGTAATTTGAGTGACCAAATGTGTAATTTAGCCGAGATACAAGTATAAGAAATGGAGCTCGAATGGAAGAACATTGCATTCTGAAATTAGTATTTATAATCAAGGGTTATAGGTATAATATGTCCCTCTACTATGACGTTTTATCAAACATACCCCTTTACTATTTTTTACATCAAACATGCCCTGTAATTTGGAAAAACTATCAAACATGCCCTTCAGTTGAAATTTCCATTGAAAAAATCGTCAATCATGGTTGAACCGAGATTTAGACGACCTGACATCGATAAATGGGAGGGGAAATGTCAGTTTTGACCCTTGTTTTATTTCTCTAGGTCTCGTCAAAGTGAAATTATTAGAATTATTTGGCTATACAAAAGAACAAAAAAAAACTCTAAAGTGAAATTATTAGGGATATTTTAGATATTTGGGTCGCCCAAACCAAAGTTCGGTCTTCGTTAACGGTTTTTGGATGGAAATTTTAACAAAAGGGCATGTCTGATAAGTTTTCCAAAGTACAGGGGCATGTTTGATGTAAAAAATAGTAGAGGGGCATATTTGATAAAACGTCATAATAGAGGGGCATATTATACCTATAACCCTATAATCAATGCAGTTAAAAGCGCGATTCTACTTAAAAGCGGAAAATGGGTAAAATCGTAAAGCGGAACAAAGCGTCAAAACAATAGTTTTTTTTATATACATCATGTAAAATAGTTAAAAATGTGCTAAGTAAGACATGTGCTATCTAAAATATGAGTGTATAGATTTTGGATAAGTAAATAACTACATGTAATTTAGGTTCAAAATGTAAAATGTGAGTGTTTCATTCGAAAATCAAATAGTATAGTAGCATCCAAGGCTTCTGAGAAATTTAATCTTAGAGCACAAAACAACAATGAGATAATTCATATAAGGAACGATGGACAATGAATTTTGGAGTTGTAATCAAATACAACTATAGAGAATCCAATCATCTTTGTTACGCCCAGCCTAGCAAACAATTGGAAATTTAGGGTTTAGGAAGCTTTGCCGATGTTACGATTCGACTTGGTGCAGATAACGACCCAACATTCCTTCACCCGTCGCGGCTTCAAAATCGCCCCCGCCAATCGATCTCATCCTTCGCCGGACCCCATGTGTCATTGCAAGAGACTTCTTTGATTTGTTCTCACCACCAGTCCCCTGCCCCAATTTCTTGATTCATCGGCGGAGTTCATGGAGAAATTCCTCCTGGATGTAGAGACGGTGGAGAGCAAGAGACAAGCGGAGACACCTCCATGGGGAGAGAATTGAGTGGTTCTGCACTGGGGACGGTGGAGCGGTGGAGAGCGCCGATGATGGTAGAGTGGTAGAGAGCACTAGGGAGTGGTGACGATAGAGGCACCAATATGGGATTTAGAGTTGCGGTTGTTTCCATTTCGTATTAGGGATTCAGATACTCGAGCGCCTTTCAAAATTTATGCCCATTTTTTTAATGTATAAATTTTATAACAGTAGAACGACGTCACTTTGGTGCAAATGTTACTTTTCTGGAGAGTGCATGGAATCGCAAAGAAACACTGTAAAAATAAGTTTTTGTACGATTTTACAAATGGTTTTAACGATTTTGTGAGCAAAACGATTTTAGGTGGAATATGAATCGTTTTTGTGAACTAGATACGTAAAAATGTTACGACTTAAAGCACGATTTTGACTGCACTGTTTATAATACTTTATATCTATTAAAAGCAACAGTGAATTTTTCTCGCACGGGAAACACATCCAAATAATTTCATGAAATAAGCTCAACATAAACTATTTGTTTCCACATGGGTGAATTGCAAGTTTCGTCACTCATATTACCTATTTATAACAAGTTAGCCACCCGAATCACTTTTGCTTCAATTTAGCCACTGATACTACTCGTTTGTGTCATCTTTAGTCACTCGCCGTTTAGTTCTGTTAAATCTGTCCTACGTGACAGTCAACAGTTAGGTTTGACTGTTAAAATGCTAATGTGACAATTAAAAAATAATTAATTAATAAATTTTATACTTTTACAAATCATAGTTGAATATCTTTGCTCACGTGGAAGATTGAGGGATGAGAAAATATGAATTGGCCATGCTTAAAATGGGAAAATGTATAATATATTGTTTAGAGTAGGTAGATTATTGAACTAATGGGGCCAATTGAACTAATCAATTGGCCCCAATAACTCAGAGCCTACGATCGAAAGGTTATGCTTTCGAATCCTTATGACAACCCCCATTTTAAGCAATGGTTTAGTACAAGGAATGGTATGTCCAACCTGTACAAACTGAAAGCCGAAGGATGTAGCAACACAAGGAATGGTATGTCCAGCCTCTGCAAAATGTAAAAACACGACTTTCGTTTGAGGGGAGTGTATGAGAGATAAAGGTTTAACAAACTTTAGTAAAAAATGATATATAGACCTTGAATTGACCGGAGTTTGGCATATGGTGTTATTCCTAAACCCTTAAAGATTAAAATCTAAGTCTTAATTCTATAAATCTCATACACTAAGATTAATTTAATTGAGAACGAAAATCGATGGTCATGATTCGTCGAAATATATGCAATAAAATACATGTCCAATATTAGGAGTTAAGCTCTATGATTTAGATAACTAAGACCTAGAGTTCACTCCTCAAGGGTTAGGGTATAGTATCATTACCAAAAATTCGGTCAATTCGAGGTCTAGATAGCGTTTTTTACTCACAGTATGTCGTAACTTAAATTTTTCCCAAGGTACCATAGAAGCCACCACAAATATATATGGTTCAGGTTAGCGTACGACACTTGTACGCTGTGCGCCTGTGTTCACACTTGTTAATAATTTTTAATTAGTTATAATGAAGTAAATATTTAAGAATAATAAAAATTACAAGCATACCTATAAATTTATTTCGGAATACTATTTAGTCCCAAATAATATGTTGCCGTCTTTCTGCTTAAATCAATCATGTAAATTTTGAATTGAACATTTATAGTACCTTCTTTTTGCCATTCATAATTTATAACACCCAAATTTCTTATCAACAATAAATAGTACAATTATTTTTGTTTCTTCTTTCAAAATGCATAACTAAAATATTGAATGTCACCACCATTTTATTCATTTCCTTTTCTGAAAAAATCCCACAAACCATTTCACCTTCTTCCTCTTATCCTTCCGTGTCCATGCTCCTCCATTTTTAGCAAACTCCATCCCCTATCCCCTTTCACCTTCAGATCTCCAATTCGACCGAAGTCTTCTAATCGCCGTTGGCCTCTCCTACTCTGCTGCCATAGAATGACCTTGTCGATGCAATTGCAGGAAATGAGCATTTATGGAAGAGGGAAAGCAAGGGTTGGGATCCGTAGGTGGAAGAAGAAGAAGAAGAAGAGACTGATAAGGCGACGGTGGGCTGCGATAAGGGCGATGATCGACAGCTTGGAGTTTGGGAGAGGTGAGGGACTTTAATACGCCCCTGGTTTTCTCCCCCCAAGGCCACATGCATCTGCATCAGAAGCGAGGGACTTCAATTCAACGCCATCTCCTATCCCAATTCTCCTATCACTACAAAAAAGGAAGTCATTATCGAGGATACGATTTTCGTCATAATTGATAAAATTTCGTCAGAAAATATCTTTTATGACGACATTTCGTCGTCAAACATCGTCAGAAATTGTCCCGTCGCTAATAATAATAATATTATTGACAAGTCATCAAATTTACAATATTATTGACGACATGAATACGTTAGTAGTAAATAAATGACGTTACAAAAGAAATCACTCATGACGGATGAATTTGACGAAGTTTTTTTTTACGACAGCTTAATTTATTTTTGACGCATTATGTTTGTTGGTCCATTTTTCTGACGAGACGTCATAAATACTAATTATACTAACATCCATAATTCATCAAAAATAACTATTTGTGACCAGAAATTGAGGCCAAACGTTTTTTTTATACGGTGTACATACATTTCTGATGATGTGTATGCGTCACTAATATATTATTACCGACGTTTAGTCAAAAATATAAATTTTACTGATGCTGACAAATTGTCGTTAAAACTATGTTTTTCTGACGTGTCGTCGGAAGAATTATTATTTCCGAGGACAACTATTCATCGTAAATAAAATCATTTCCAACGTGTCGTTGGATAAATTTTTATTTATGATGACAACTATTCATCATAAAATTAATCTTTTCCGACATATCGTTGGATAAATTTTTATTTGCGATGACACCTATTCATCATTAAAAAAATCTTTTCCCACGTGTCGTTGGTTATATTTATATTCCTGAGGACATATGTTTATCGTCGGAAAAAATCTTTTCCAACGTGTCATTGGAAAAAAAATATATTTACTGAGGACAGCTAATTATCACCAAAAATTATCTTTTCCAGCACGTCGTCGGAAAAACTACATTTACTAATGACGCTTAATTATTGTCAATTATGCAATTATATCTATTAACGACGGCGACATTTGTTGCTAATTGCTTGATTAAATTTCATTTGTGACGCCATTATACTTCTAGTGATGACAACACAAACAAATCATCCAAACAAAGTTATGCATATTCCAAAATTAACTTTCAAACTGTCTAACAAGTAGCCATCAGCTACGACCAAACATCCAAACTTCAAAAGATAAAATATCCTCCGAAAATGACACAAAATATACCAAAGTCAAGTGATACTTAGAATCCTACGATAGCATTAAAAAGAAATTCATGCATCAGCAGCAGTCTCTTCGGCAGTCTCCTCATCGGACTCGTCGTCGGCCACATTGTTACCCTAAGTTTCCCCAACTCGACCTTGTTCCCTATTTGCTTCACTGTTGAGATCCTACATAGAATATAACAAATAGATTAGTCATAGCTTCGAAAATTATGTAATGAGTAAAAAATAAAACATGGCAGCAAAATACATACCATATCGAATGACTCGGGCAGCCGCACTCCAAGTCTCTGCAAGACAGATTCAACAATGTGAGGAACTGCATTCCTCACATCTACGATCTCATCCTCCAACTTCTTCATTTTCTCATCATTTTTTCCCCTTTCTTTGGTTCGATCCTCCTGACAACGCTTGCTGCAACCCTGACTACCTTGACTCGATGTGGGACCGAAGACATCAACCGAGCTCACCCCATGGCCCATCCCTATAACACGCTTTGGGCGTTGTGGTCCGATCACTTCTTGATAGATGGAAAATTTGTTTGGTTCTTCCCCTTGGGATACCTTTTCAGCCTCTGCTTGTATCAGTCCATCATAATCATGGAGTAAACAACATCAACATCAATATAAAAAACAAAAAAAACGAGTACAAATTAAACAGCAGCCTAATTTTCTGTATACAACATCAATATCAATAAAAAAGACAACAGAACCGAGTACAAACAGCAGCCTAATACTCTGTAAACATTATTGAACTTACATTCAGGGTTTTTGCTTTTGACGAAACCCAGTTCTTGTCCTTCTTCACATGGAAACGTCTAAACATCTCGATCGGATCAGGTTCTTTTTCAGTTTGTTTTATCTACCAATCAATTAAAAAGAAAAATTGCATTGACATGTAAACTGAGTACACTTGCAGCCTAACATAAACATTAGCAATAGTGCACCAACTTACCTCTTCATGTCTGTACTTGGCCAACGATGCTGAACCGCCAGTGGCTGCAAGCTCACTCTTCTCCTGATTCCCTTTATTCTTATCACTCATTTCCTTGAATTCGAAACAAGAAACAATCAGCTCACCATTGAAAACAGATTAGGATGAAAGACAAACACCAAAGCATACACCCACTTAACTTACCACCCAATTCGGGTAAGTCAATTTCTGAACCTTCTCCCTCCAAATTGATGGACTAATTTGCGGTGGTGGATGGTTCATTCTCTGATTCAGATCCTTATACTTCTTGAAAATCCGGTCTCGGAGACCATACATCCACTGGGGAAAGTTTCTCTTTACGTGGTCTCTGACCATATCTTTGAAAGTCTCTTCTGACCCAGTGTAAGTGAATCCTGAGTCCTTGAAACGAGCTATCACAGTCTCGAGTTATGATGCAGGATACTCTGAGAAAGTAATCCAAGGCCCATTGATGCTCCTTTTGAAGATAGCTAAAATTTCACGGGCTGCTTGAGTGGTAATTATCTTGCCCAGTTTATTTATAAGTATCAAACTAAGTAAACTAAGTATCAAACTGAGTACACTGAGTGCAAAAAATTCCAGGGACAGGTTGGCAAAAAATTCCAAGGAACATTATTACAGACCTGTTATCGTGAAATTCCAGGGACGGGTTGTGTCCAGGCTTTACACCCTTTCCTGGTCCTCTTCCTTTTCTTTTTTTGGTCGTTCCTATCACAAGGTCAGAACTTATAGTCAGCTACAATGCAAAGACAGAAGTAAGCCATACGAAATAAAAAAAACCACACAATGAAACTAACCATTCGAACTTCCGCCCTCTGATGACAGGTCCGCAGCTGAATGTGGAGCAGTCGAATCAACATGCTCTGTTTTTCCTTCCAATTCAGTAACAGGGGACCTTTGCTCCAATCTTGGAGTTTCAGTGATAGGAACAGGCGTATCGGTGTTCCTGTCCCCTTGTCCTTCTTCCTGATTCTCTGAAACAAGAGGCGGAGATGGAGAGTTGCTCTGCACAGGTGAACGAGGTGCAGATTCTTCCCTCTGGCTTTGAGAACGGAGGCGTTTCTTTTGCTTTGCCATCTAGTGAGAAGCAAAATTCGTTAGAGGGAGGAGAGTAATGGCAGAGAAGAGGAAATCGCAAATGACGAAGAAAAGGGTTTTGGGTTCCTTTATTTGGCTCTGCCTACTGAAGCGTGTTTATGTTATCTAGGGATTATTAATGAAGCGTGTTTTATGTAGTAATTGTGTTGTGGTGGGAAACAAGGAAAAAAATCCCGCCTTTTTTTTAGGCTAACGAAGAGGCAGAGCATATTTATGGTTCTTTACCTTTTCTGAGGAAATCTCGTTCCATAGATCACTCTCTGCCGTTGTACTCATTTAACGAATTAATTCGTTTATTGCAATGAAGGTTTAATTACATGAATGAACAATAATTGACAAATTAGGGGGGATTGAACAGAACTAATTACAGTCTGCGAACAACTAACCAAATTGCAAAGAAAACGAACCAAAAACAGACCCCATGGATGAACAAGAATTGCACCATGGATGAAAAACCCACATGCATTGACCAAATCAAAGTAAAAGCCACTGAACTAACTCAGAACAGACCCCATTGTGCAAAGAACGAACTAATTACTTGGAATTCCGATACAGTCCCAATCTCAGAGAGTTCTAAGATGCTTTCTGGGTGCATGCATGTTCGATTTACACCTGCAATTGAGGAAATCAAACCGCAACATTCAAATCCACATCTATGGTATAAATTTATTTGCTTGTACACATCCAATCGAAAGACAAAAGCAAACAAACCTATATTCTGTCGACTAAGAAAGGTAAAGGAACCAGATTCCGGCGAATAAAGATCGCCTCTCTGCCCTCATTCATCTCTCTCGAAGCGCAATCCGTCGCGAAACCCAGACCCACCAGAGGATTGGGCTCCCGCTGCATCGCCTTGTCCACGCTGCTCAGTCCGTCGGCCGATCGGAGCAATCGACGGCGGCCATGACGTCGCCTTCACGCACCCAGTTCACCGACCGCCGTAGCAACTGGAAATACCGTCGTCATCTCCTCCGCGCCCCCCAATCTTCCATCATTGACAGACTTGAAGTCGCCACAATCTTTTGGGTAAGAGAGCAAAAATGAAATCGATTAAGGGTTTGGGTAAACAGAGTGCATGCGAGGAGGTGAGAGGGGAAGATGAAGTGTGTTTTTGTTCTCCATTTTAATTTGTTCAGAATAAATTTTAGTGTTAATTGATTAGCTAACATTAAAAAATAAAAATATCTCCTGTTTTATTGAAGCGAAGAGAGGCAGATGATTATGTAGGCTTTTTAATTTATATTTTGTTGCTAATAAAAATTTCATATATATATATATATATATAAGTTTATATTTCATTTGAGCAAGTTGCAATAATTAAGAATATATTGTACATTTTTTGTAGGTTATGGAAGGTGTTGATAAATCATGGATGCAGCTTCGTAATAGATCAACTATGGAGTATGCGAATGGCGTTCAAAATTCTATCGCATTCGCATACTCCAATATTCAAGACGAAGACAACAAAATACAGTGTCCTTGCGTGGACTGTCAGAATGTTATAAGAAGGGAAAAACGAGAAGTTGAGCTACATCTATTACGATGAGGAATGTCACGTGATTACACTAAATGGATTTAGCATGGAGAGAAATCAGACGATGATTATTCCGAAGAGGAGGATGCAGAGGATGCTGTAGACGATGGTAATGAGATGGATGTAGATGACATACCGGGGTTACTAAATGATTTGAGACCGCATTTGGATCCTGACCCCGAGAATCCCAATGCAGAGGCAGAGCAGTTTTTCAAACTGGTAAGAGATTCTCAGACGCCATTGTATGATGGTTGTGATGAAAAGTTATCCAGTCTGTCATGCCTGGTGAAGATGATGCATTTGAAGTGGTTCAATTCTTGGAGTAATACCTCTTTTACTCAATTATTGAAGTTTCTTCGATCTACTTTCCCTATGGCACTAGCCGCCCGTGACTTATTTCCGAAGTTCATATCGGACACACTGATTGCGCTTAGCAATTTTTTCAAGGACATATGTTGCAAGGAGCTAAACGTGGAAGATTTGAATTACTTGGAGTCTCAAATTGCCATAATCCTAAGTAAGTTGGAACGTATTTTTCCTCCTGCCTTATTCGATATAATGATCCACCTGCCCATCCATCTGCCTTGGGAGGCCAAAGTTGCTGGTCCAGTTCAGTATCAATGGATGTATCCTATTGAAAGGTATGCTACATATATAACTACACTAAAATTATGTTATATACTGACATTTTGGAAACTTTGTGTAGTTAATTTGACAATTTTTAAACAATTTAGGTCTTTGAAGAAGTTAAAAGGTTACGTTCGTAACAAGGCACGTCCAGAGGGATCAATCGCCGAAGCTTATATTGTTGATGAATGTGTCACATTTTGATCGCAATATTTGACTGGAATGGATACTATATTTAATCGGCCAGAGAGAAATGTAGATAAATCTTCAACGTCGTTGCATCCATCTCATGACCTATCAGTTGTTCCGGGTGTCGGGCGTGTCATTGGTGTGAAGGACGACATGAGAGACTTCAATACTGATTTGTGGAAAGCGGCAGCTTCTTATGTCCTACAAAACTGTGATGAAGTGCAAAATTTTATAAGGTACATATACATATATACCAATACTTATTTATTTATTGTATGCTAGAATATAATTTATTTTAATAATATTAATTACAGAACTCACAAGGAACAACTAAACAATCGAGGTGTCGTATGGTTGAAGCAGGGCATAAACAAGAATTTGCTAAGTGGTTCTTATTAGAGGTACATACATGTCATATATAATAAAGAATTTTCATATTTAAAAATTATCGCAAGCTAATTTTACGTTTATCCTTGCAATTATTTGCAGATTACACGAACGCACAATGATAAAGTGCCAAGTTTGAATCCTTCTTTGTTATCCTTAGCTCGAGAGCCAGAAAAACGAGTCCTGCACTACTCAGGATATTGTATCAATGGATTCAGATTTCACACTCGTTCTCACGAGTTAACCAAGAGCAGTCAAAACAGTGGTGTGATGGTGAGAGGGGAGAACGATGGGGGAATTCATTACTATGGCGTTCTCACCGATATCATCGAGCTTCGTTATACGGAAGGGCTTCTTGTTGTATTATTTCAGTGTGAATGGTATGACACCGCTCGCGAAGGGGTTGGTTACAGGAAAGATGGACATGACACTATTACCATCAACACTACGCGAAGGCTTAGAACATATGAGCCATTTGTTCTGGCTAGTCAAGCAATTCAAGTTTATTATATGCAATATTTAAGAGATCCAAATTGATAAATTGTGGTTGAAATGCGACCAAGAAATTTGTTCGCGATGCCATCTAATACGGAAGGAGAAGGAGAAGGAGAAGGAGCATTAGACGAAGCCTATCATGAAGACTATTTTAATTGATGATCCTAGGGTACTCCAAACCTAGGGAGATGATCTCTTAAACTGGACTAGAGGCGGGTTCGAAGATTAGGTATGACTAATTTGGTCTTTGTAGATCGAAATATAAATTATATAATCCATTATTTTTTTCATAGAACAGTGCTTACTATGTGTTTTTTATATATTGATTCAAAACATGTCATTCTTGTGTATGGCGTACAAAATGTATTTGTGCTTACCATTTACTGCCGACGACATTTTATGGCGTAAAAAATGTTATTTTTTCCTGACCAAACTGTGGTCACGAAAATTTTCTTGACCAAATAGTACTGACGAAAGGCTTATTGCGTCAAAAAAGTGTTTTACGATATCAGAAAAGTGGTTTTCCTGACCAAATAGTATTGACGAAAATGTACTGTTGTCAAAAAAGAATTTTTTCTGACCAAGTAGTATTGACGAACTTTTATGATATCAGAAAATGTGTTTTACTGACCAAAATTATTGACGTAATTTTGATATTATCAGAAAAGATGTTTTCCTGACCAAATATCATTTTTAAAATTTTACTGTTGCCAAAAAAGAATTTTTCTAACCAAATAATAGCGACGAAGTATTTATGGCGTAACAATTAGGGTTTTTCTGACCAATTTGTATTGTCAATAAAAACATTTTCTGACCAATTACTTATGACGAAAAATTCATTCCGTCAAAATTAAAAATTTATTTTCGACGATCGGTATTTTGACGTCAATGATAATTATATTTTCTGACGAGATTTTTTTTTGGTTAGTAATAATGATTATATCTAACGGATAATGTGAAGTCGTCAAAAATAAGCCCCGTGAAAAATGAAAAGTGGGGCTAAAAACATTGTACTGACGAAAAAAATACTATTTTTGATAAAAAAACCACATATATCAGTAATAATTTCATTATTACAGACGAAAATTGTTTCCTGTAGGAATTATTAATTTTTTTGACTCATTTTTTTAGTTGTCAGTAAGAATTCGTCACAAATGATTGCCTTTTTTGTAGTGTATATCAAGCCGATTTATCTCTCTAAACTTAGGGTTTTTTAGCTTGATTTGTCACAGGTAAGGAAGCCCTACAAGGGAAGGCGGTGCAGCGGATGATTTATGAGATTGACGGGAGTTGCGGGTCGTGCTACGACAATCAAGCGGAGTCCAGAGTTCTTTTCTGCCATAGATCTCTCGTGATATGTCGCACAACAAACTGATTGGTGGTTTGAATTGACGGCAACGACGCGGTAACCCACAAACAACAAACCACCGTAAAGCCGCCAAAACACATAAGAACCCGGGTATGTCCATTCCTTTACTGCTATTCCTAACTTTCTCCAACTGCATTTCTAATTAAGTCGAATAGATAGGGGCAATAGCAATGGATGTAGTGGCCAGTTAGTGGAGAGCAATAATAAGTAAACATTAGCTCATCATAAGACCCTTCTTTTGGTTTTGAGTTGATCCTCTGTCGCTAATCAGGTAAACCTAAACCAATAATATCCAAATCCATAGAAGCCCCCTTCATATTAAATCATTTTTGGAGGATAGTGACCAGGTATGAACATAGAGATATAATTCTGCAAATGGTTGATGGTTTAAATTTTAGGCAATTACTCTTTTGTTATGTAGATGCATGTATAGATGTTTGGTTGATTTACATACCAATACCGAAATATGGTATACTACATGTACACTGTGTAAAAGGTAACATAAGCAGTCGTTATACAGGAAAGGATTGATGAGAATTCACAGGTTTCGGTGGATGCATGTGTTAAGAACTGTTAATCATCACTTATGGGTATGAATGGTTGGTTAATTGACATTTTGCTAGGCTGTGTGCTCTTGCTCTAACTGCCCTGACTCTAAAATTCCTTTTCGTATGGTGGTTGATAACTTGTTTTATGCATAGGTGAGAGGGTGGATATATGTAGGTAGATGCCTAGATGGGAGCATATTAAACTGTTGAAAGTGTTGTAGCTTTATACTTATGGTGATTGATGACTTGTTTGATGCATAGTTGAGACTAGAGAGGGTGGATGTATATAGGTAAATGCCTAGATGGGAGCATATTAAATGGTATCAACGCAGACTGAGGTAGCTATCCGTATTTTGGTCTATTTGACGGGACTGTGCATCTAGGCATGGTTTTGGTTCTTAGGAATTTGATATGATTCGACCTGAAGCTGTTTCTTTTAGCCTTAAGAGTCAGATTTGAGAAGCAAAGAGACTTGGTCTCAGAAAGCTTGTGCTTCCATTCGATCTTAAATCCGTGTTAAACCTTCTTTCCTCAAATCTGGACTGTCTCCAGTGTTGATCCATAAATAAACTGAAGCAACACATGTACGTTGTGTTTCATACAACTTGTTGTTTGTGTTGCTTCTGATTGGGGGTTTTTCTTTCCTTGTTGTAGCTAGCTGCACTTTTCACGCCAGGAAAGAATTGATTAAAGTATTTCAGTTTTATATATCGCAATTGTGAGGATTTGAGACTTTAGAAAATAAGGGATTTTGATTCCCACCCACGAGTTTTGATAAGAAGTATTTACCTTCTAGGAAGCTTATTAGTTTATTTCATTTTAATTCGAATAAATACAAATCACAACAAAAAGATTTTGTAACAGTCCCCTTCCTTCATCACAACTCTAAACACGTTTATCCTATATAAGCTACTCATCCGAGTGGAATATCTTCGTATTTTTGGGAAGAAAACAAACAAAGGAAGATCGGTGTCATGGAAGGGTTAGTTAGAGTTGTTTTGCGATGCCTTTGTTCCTGAGTCTTATGGCCCCTGCTGAAGCTTTGTTTTTTTAATGTTGTTTTCAGGTTAGACAAGACAGCAGCCGAATCAAATGAGGTAAAGTTTTGAAATTCGTACAATGTCCTGCATTCCTTTATTTTATTATATTTTATTTGGGGTACCTAAATGCCTGGGTTTTTGTTATGCATATCAGGAGCCTGCATTCATTTATGACTGACTTGGAAAAAGGTAAGCTATTTATGAAAAGGGAGTTGAAGGGTGATATTAACGACTTGAGGACAACAGTGCAGTCGTTTAGGGACCTGTTGATTGGGAGGTTCGGTGGGAACTCTGAAAATGGTAGAAAGGAGAAGAATGACGATAAAGTCAAAGTTGTGAACTTAAGCTCGGATAGCTCGTTTTCCTTGGCAACAAGGAGTAAACATGAGACGAAAAGCACAGTCAGCAGGAGAAAGGTACCCCTAGTCACACTTTTGTTTTTTGTGTTTATGTGATATCAGTGTTTTAATACATATGTTAAATGATAGGGGAAAGCGGTTAGAAAGTCTCCAATTAGGTTGCGGAGTCCTATTTGGACCCGGAAAGATCCCGAGAGGACTAATGCCAAAATAAAGGTGATCGGCCCCTTCATCACTATAAAGTCCCTATAAAAAAGGGATCAATGGTTGATCAACCACGTTTTTTATCCATTCAAGGATGAAAGGTATTAAAAAAATTGTGTTACATTATTATTAATTGAGCATAATTCATTTTCTGCAAGTTAAAGGCACTCAAAAATGATTTGTATTGTCTGTTGTTGGTTGTAGTGAAGCGCTGGTTAGATCTCCATGGTATCATCTAACCCGTGGAGAGTTTAAGGTATTAGTGTCGAAAATACCATTGTCTACCCAGGTTCGTATACAACTTATCTTGATTCTTGAATTTATAATTGGCTTAGTAAAGGAGCAAAGTTCTGTAACGTGATATGTGTTTTGACACTGTTTATTTGTGTAGGTGATCACTATGTGAGTTGACTTGTTAACGGTGCCAGAGTTGGAAAATGAAAAACCTATGAATTTGTTCTTACCACCGGCATTTGCTGTAAGTTCATAAGTTGTATTTGGTATTATTTTGCATATCTTTAAAAGTAGTAATTGGACATATTTCAAACTGTACAGTATGCTAAAAGTTATGTTTGGTTATAAGAGTCTTCATTATGAATGATTGTATAGGGTTGTTAAAATCTGTTGAACTTTACGCCATAATTTTTGTGCTGTTATAGAAAATCTCGGCTAGTCACTTAAATTTGTTGTCTGTCACTAAAAAAACTTGAACTTTAGGCCATAATTTTTGTGCTGTTATTTTTCTGTGTGAATTTCTTGTCATGAGTGGAACCTGAAACTGGAATAAGATTATGTTGTCATTCTTGTGATGAATTATGGATTGAAAGTTCCAGCGCACCCAATCCTAGATGTTTTGCCCATTTTTCTTGAAATTCCAGAAACCAAATTTTTATGTTTCCTTTTAAACATTGTATGGCTGCTTCCTTGCAATAAACTCATCATACCACACTAGTGTATTTTAAGCACTTCTGTTCGAGAGGTGACATTGACATGATGAACCTGACTGGTTAGCACGTAAAAATTGGAACCTTATCTAGGTATCCATAAAAAGTGAATTGATTGTGTAGCTATTACGATCTAATATGACTATTCTTGTAGGTGGCCCGTGGAACCGGAGATCGCGTTTTTGCTTACCCTGAGAAAAGAATTAAAACAGTGTACAACTCTGAGGACTTCAATGATTGTGAGAAGGTAACTGTTGCAAATGCTGGAACCTCTTAGAATTTCGTGATGGATAGAATTTTTTGTTGAGGTTTAAGTAATGTGTGTACATGTCAGATTTTTGTCCTGGTGCTGCTGGGTAGCCACTTCTTTCTTTCTTTCTTTCTTTCTTGCTTTCTTTCTTTCTGTTTTTGACCTTAAGAAAGAGGTGATTGAAATATGGGACTCACCTCCAAATTGTGTCGATCCAGTTAAGAGGGGAGAAAAAGTGTCACTGATTATAAGTCATCTTGGGCATCTAAAAGGCTATGTTATGTATTCAATTTGTATATATGCTAACATATTATGTACTTGCTGTATGCAAAGAAACTGGACTCGATCTTTTTTGAAGCATTCATGAGGAGATTCGAAGCCAAGATGTTTTGCACTTTCACCATCGTAGAGGTGGTCAATGCTCCGCGGCAAGAGAATGGGTATGTTTATCTGTCTAGTTTCTCATTAGTTGGTTTGTTTGTAATAAGCTATTTGATTTAATTTTCGGTTTAAATGTTTTTGGGCCAGGTTCGACTGTGGGTTGTTTGTGTTGAAGTTGATGACATGTGGTGGCCATTTGGATGAGTGTGCCTGGGGACTGAAGAAGAAGGTGGTTTATTCCCTTCATCTTGTTATTATTGTTATTGACACAATTTTGGTCATTTTTTTATGGCTTCTTCATTTACATTTTTCAGTTTGACAGTGAATAGGAGAGGCTGGGTCTAGCTATGTACTTGTTGAACAATATGGAGAATACGGAGCGTGATGCTCTCCATCAGAAGGTACTCATGGAAAGTGTTAGTGGAGGTGATTCCGTGGAGGGCGGTGTGGAATGGAGTGGGAATCCTTAATAATTAGGGAATGGCAAGACACTAAGATTTTGATGCATTTGTTTTTTCCTAAACAATCAAAGAACTGGAGCAGTTGCTGATAGGTGTTTTTGTTTTTGTGACATTTTCTTTTGTTCTACACGATCGTTACTGCATTGGAATTTCCAAATTTGATTTTGTTTGCTCGTAGAACCAATGTGTTGTATTTGTGCTTGCTATTATTGTTTGCAGCTGCGATGGCAGCAATTCTCAATGGTTTATGGGTACATTGTCCAACTAGAAATCGACTTGGAGGAGTATTTGAGAAATATAAGAAAAGCATTATGCTTTCATAAAGAAGCATTGTACGATTAAACATCATTGACACGCCAAAACACAACACCAATCTGCGACCAAGTGTAATCGCAGACCGGGAATGCAGTAACAGGCAAGTTATATTATCAACCCGGGGTCCAGATCTACTGCTGACTCCGTGATTCTCTATTATCTAGCCAACTAAAGTAAGTGATTGTTGTTTAAAAGCAGAAGCAGAAAGAAAGCAGGAATTGATACGGTTTTCTCAAGCAGGTAAGAGTCACTCGGGAATGAGTCCCCCTAGCTCCTTAGTTAGGTTTCAATTGTATTTCCCTGGGTTGATTTACTGTTGATTAGACTGCGGAAGATCCGACAGTAGCTTGGAATCTCTTAAGCTGACCAAGCCCTCTCAGTCTATCTACCCGGCAGACGACTAGTCTTCACCGGGATAGAAAGCTGAAGCAGTAAGAACAGAACTCCACTACTGGAATTAGATTCTAGTACAAAGCAGTACACTGGCTAACTCTCGTATAGCCAATCTCCTACTACCGAATGATGAGACTCTAGCAACCTAATCAGATTCTATCTATCTCAAATTGCAGCAGGAATCAGGAAAAGTTGATCAGACTTCAATTGACTCAATAAACATGCATCATTCGATTAAAATCAAACAGTAATATCATCCCAAGTCATTACAATCAATCCCTAACACATAGAACTAGGGTTCTTCATCCCCAAGTGAGAGAGGGGTTCTACTCCATAGAGAGAGAGGAAAACAAGATATAAAGCAGTCATACTCATAATTATGGGAAGAATCTGCTCTGGGATGATGATTTCCACTCCTATGACGATCTCCAAGCTTGATTTGATGAAACCCAGCTCCAAGATAGCTTCTAGGATGTGTTCTTCGTCCTTTCTCTCTCTAGGGCTCTGTTTTTGCTCCAAAAATCCGATCCTCTCTCTTGCAGCCCGAAATTGGGTGAAAACCAGGAATTCCCGACTCACACGGGCTGGGCCACACGGCCGTGTGGCATACCCAGTTGCCCGTGTGAGTCAAAACGCTGCGTTCCAATTAGTTCGATCTTCAGGCTTCCCACACGGCCATGGTCGCACGGCCGTGTGTGATTTCTATCCTGCCCGTGTTTGCTCTCGCACAATCTCACACGGCCAGACCACTCCTTCACACGGCCGTGTGGTTACAGGGCAAGCCGTGTTTGCTCTCGCACAATCTCACACGGCCAAAGTGGTCACTTGCACGGCCGTGTGAGTTGTGGGTGTGCCCGTGTGGCCTCCTTTTTGACTTGCCTCGCGCCCGATCTTCGTCCAATCGACCCCAAACTCGCTCCCAAGCCTCCATTCACGTACTAGGACCTGAAATATCACAAACAAACACAACCTAGCGTGAAATCGGCCTAAAACATGAGAAACCACATCTCAAACGGTGTAAGAACAGGGGTGAAAACAGGTGTAATTAACGGTCTATCAAACTCCCACACACTTAACCGTTTGCTTGTCCCCAAGCAAACCAAGTCAGACACAAGGTAAGCTCACATATTTCAATCAACCAACATTGTCGCGGTTTTCCGGCGAGGTTCAGAGGATTCCGGCGAGGATTTTTCAAAATTATGACCACTCGGCCGTGACAGCCGAATATATTGGCCGTGCCTCGGCCGCACGGGCAGGCTTGCACGGCCGTGCGAGGTGCAAGATTGCCCGTGTTGGCCGACACGGCCGGGCCGAGGAATTTCACTCGGCCGTGCCGAGTGCACCTTTGCCCGTGCCAAATTATGCGAGAGCAAACACGGCCAGGGCAAATTTCCACACGGCCGTGCCACCATCTCATCTGGCCGTGTGGAATTCTGCAAGAGCTCACACGGCCAAACCTATTTTCCACACGGCCGTGTGACATTCAGGGCTGGCCGTGTGAGCTGCATGAACTCCGAAAATGACCTGTTTTCACTCCAGAACGACATACAACTCGTGAACAACCCCTCAAGACTCAAAAAACACAAAAAAGCAAAAGGAAAAATGTAAGAAAATGAAAACCTAGGTGGGGTTGCCTCCCCACAAGCTCTTCTTTACCGTCTTTTAGCTGGAGGCCAGTCGGTGGATGCTCAGTGAGGTGAAGGAGCAGGTGCCTTCAAGAGCGGATCCACCTCGCTCTTGAGGTACAACTTCAAATGATGGCCATGCACACGCCGAATGTGGCAACCAGCATTTGCCAACTCAACTTGGCCATCCGGCAGGATGCAAGCGAGTGAATACTCGGATGGCCAAGGTGGGGGCGGGACCAGCTCATAGTGGTCTCCGGCCTTCTTTCGAGCAGGTTTAGCTTCCTGCTGTTTCGGCCGCCACTCCTCCCTGATTTGTTCCTTCGATGATGGAGTGGACGGGAGTGGCGGCGAAGGTATGGGAGGCGGATCCTGCAAAATAGGCAACACAGAAGGATACACGACAGACTCGTGCTCCTGGTGAGATACATCATGCAGAGGTGACGAAGCAGGACGAGTATTAGAAATTGAAAACGCTATTCGCTCCTCACCATCCCTCAAAATTAAGGTCCCATCATGCACATCTATGAGGGCCTTGGCGGTGGCCAAGAAAGGCCTTCCCAGTATCAATGGCACATCCACATCCTCATTTATGTCCAAAATCACAAAATCAACAGGATAATTGAATTTTCCAACCTTAACCAGAAGGTCTTCCACTATGCCCCTAGGATGCACTACAGATCGGTCAGCTAATTGAAGGCTCATCCTAGTAGCACGGGGTTCACCTAGGCCTAGTTTCTTAAACAGTTTATATGGCATAACATTGATACTATCACCTAAATCCGCCAAGGACCTCTCTACATGCAAATTTTCTATAGAGCACGGGATAGTAAAACTACCTGGGTCCTTCTGTTTCTGCGGAAGCTTGTTCTGCAGAATGGCCGAGCACTTAGGCATTTGAGATAGTGCCTCCAGGAAAGGTACATGGACATTCAGCTTTCTAAGCATGGCCATGAAGTTCTCGAACTCTGCCTCCAGCCTGTCTTTGTGCAACCGAGTGGGGAAGGGGAGTTTAGGGATATACTCCTTCACTACTGGTTGCGGTTTAGGTGCAGGCACCTCAACCTCCTTCTCTGCTTCTTCTTCAGCTGCTGGAGATGCCGAGGCAGGGGCCTCTCTCTCTTGTGCCTGAGCAGGTGGATCAACAGTCATCTTGCCACTCCTGGTCATGATGGCATTGCAGTGCTCATTCGGGTTTTGAGGATGAGGGATGGTCTGACCGGGTAGAGTACCAGGAGCCCTTTGTGCCACTGCTTGAGCCACACTCCCCAGCTGGGTTTGGATATCCTGCAAGACAGCCTGTGTGTTCCTCTGGCCAGCTTCAAGAGCCAGGAATTTACCCGATGCCTTTTCCATGAACTGCTTGATGGTGTTAAATTTTTGAGCACTAGAACTGGCGAGAGAACCCACCAATTCCCGCAGTTCAGCCATCTGATCATTCTGCACTAGGGCGGCAGCGGCTGCACCTGGCTGCTGGAAAGGTCGCGGCTGTGATGGAGCAGCATGCCCCTGCATGGGCTGGTAGAGAGACTGCTGCTGTTGGAATTGCCCCTGTCTGGGCTGATATGGTGGCCTCTAGAAGCCCGGTGGTCCCTGGGGGACTGGTGGTCTGGAATTTGCCCCACCCCAGGAGAAGTTGGGATGCTGGCACCACCCCTCACTGTAGGTGTTACTGTAGGGGTCATTGCGCCTGACATTGTTGATGAAGTTCACCTGCTCCTGGGGCGTGGTCGATTCCTTCATCGCCTGGCAGTCTTCCACTGTATGATGGGTGCTCTCGCACCACTGGCAGAGCATAGCCTGCTGCTGTCCGGTACCTGCAATCAAACCAGAACGATCGATAGCTGAAACCAGCTTCGATACCACCTGCACCAAATCAGATGACTGGGTGCCCACAGCATGCACACCCCGGCCTGGTGCTCGTCTCGATCTCCTGGCAGTGCCCCAATCGTACCCGTTCTCCGCCATCTCCTCAAAGAGTTGATTCAGCTGTGGTGGTGTTTTGGTCAGCATGTTCCCGCCACAAACCGAATCAATCAGCTGCTTGTCCTCCGGGAAGAGGGCATGATAGAAGGTTCCCACCTTGAAAGCATCGTTGAAACCGTGATTGGGACACCTCAGGAAGAGACTGTTGTATCTCTCCCAAGCATCCCTGATGGTCTCATCCTCAACCTGAGCAAAATGGGTGATTTGCTTCTGCAGGTCAGCTGTCTTGGATGGAGGATGGTAGCGGGTGAGGAACTTGTCCACGAGGTTGGCGAACGTGGTGATAGAGCCCGGAGGTCGAATATCTAGCCACTCCTTGGCTTGCCCCTCCAGGGTGAATGGGAAGTATCTCAGCTGGATGGCATCTGCTGGGACCCCGTTGATCTTGATTCCATCAATGAGCTCGTGGAATCGCCTGAGATGTGATCGGGGGCACTCCCCCTCTTTGCCACGGAACACCACTGAACCGCGCAGCATGGTGATTACTGAGGTGCTCACCTCAAAATTGTTGGCTGGGACATGAGGATGTTGAATGGGTGACCTCATGTC